ACTTGAAGAGATGAGGTAGGCCGGAGAGCGGTTGTAGCTCCACCCAGACGCTGCAGCAGCAGCAGCAGCAACAGCAGCAGCAGCAGCACAAAGTGTCGCCCTGGACAAAGGGATGTTGTATTCGGCGCTGCTGTGAATCTGGGGGCACAGAGCTGCTGCTGCTGCTACCGCTGCTGCTGCTGCTGCTGCTACCGCTGCTGCTGCTGCTGCTGCTGCTGCATGTGTAGGGCGGCCTCACCAGATTGCGCTGTCCATTCGACTGCAACGCGAGGGCCTGCTGCTGCTGCTGCTGCTGCTGCTCCGTTTGCTGCTGCTGCTTCCCCTTTGACGCCCTTGATGCAGTGTATGTACACCACAAACATGAAGGCCTCGTTTGCAGCTGCTAAAGTCTCGGGGATTTGCTGCTGCTGCAGCAGCAGATGCTGCTGCAGTGGCGGCTGTCCTTGCTTCTCCATATGCCTCAACTGCTGCTGCTGCTGCTGCTGCTGCTGCAGAGGTGCTGCTTGCTGCAGCAGGAGGCCTCCCCGTGAGTGTAGGTTCATACTACTCCCCTGGTTGACTTCGAGAGAGCCGCAACACTGCAATCTGGCTGCTGTTGCTGCTGCAGCTGCGGCTGCAGCAGCAGCAGCAGGGTTCGGCTCTGCAGCAGCAGCAGTTGCTGCCGCTCTCCAGGGGCTTTGTCGTCCCTATGCTGTGCGTTAAGAGCCGTAGAGACTGGTAATCTGCTGCAGACACAGCAGCAGCAGCAGCAGCAGCAGTTGCAGTTGCTGCTGCTGCTGCTGCTGGCTTGGGGGCCCCGAGAGGTGCAGCCGACACGGGCTGCCAAGACACAGCAGAGCCCTGGAGTTGAAACTACAAAAGATAATTATTTTAATTTAAATTTACTGCCTGAAGCTTTTAAATGCTTTAATTAGAGGCATTTTGCTGCTGCGGAGGGCCCCAGCAGCAGCAGCAGCAGCAGCAGCAGCATCAATGGCAGCAGGATTGAACCATCATGAGTCGGCTGCGGCTGCTGCTGCCGGTCGAAACAGATCTGCTGCTTGTTGAAGTGATACAGTTAATTAAAGTATTTTTAATGATGCTGCTGCCTTTTCTGCTGCTGTTGCTGCTACCTTGCTGCTGCTGCTGCTGCTGCTGCTACCTTTCTGCTGCTGCCGTTGCCATTGCTGCTCCGTGTCTTCCCCAGCCGCTGCAGTGCAAGGCCCACCCGAGGCTTCTCTTCTGTTTGCTTTTACTTTGTTATAATTAAATAAAATGCATTTATCTTAATTTGCTGCTTTCCGAGGGCAAAAGCCCTCCAGCAGCAGCAGCAGCAGCAGCAGTGGCAGCGGCAGCTCTGCTGGCTGCAGTCAAACCAGGTGTACGTACACCTCAAGCACTGGCTCCCAAAGGCCCCGCGCCTTTTAATAAAAGTAGTTTAAACTGAACAGATAATAAATCTGAGACAAATTAAACTTAAAGTCAAACAGCTGCAGCCAGCAGCAGCTAGAAAGCTGCAGCTAGCTGCAGCTAGCTGCAGCCACTCGCAGCAGCTGCCCTAGCTAGCTGGACAGTGTAGCTGTGGCTTGCCGGCGAGAGTCTGCAGCCCAGCTAGCTGGAACAGCTAGCTGCAGCTAGCTGCAACAGCTAGCTGCAGTGGCTAGTTGCAGCTAGCTGGCCCCAGCTAGCCACGTGGACCTAGTCTTTTGCAGCTAGCTGCGGTAGGGCGGAACTCCACACACCCAGCCGTAGCTAGCTGCAGCTAGCTGTAGCTAGCTGTGGCGAGCCGTGACCAGCCGCAGCCATCTTGGTTGGCAGTGGCTAGCTGCATTCTGCGCGGCTGCCTCAGCTAGATGTGGCTAGCTGCAGCTAGCCAGCTAGCTGTGGCTGGCCAGCTACCTATAACCAGCTGCAGCTAGCCAGCCAGCCACAGCTAGCCAGCCAGCCACAGCTAGCCAGCCAGCTGCAGCTAGCCAGCTAGCCACAGCTAGCTGGCTAGCTGGCTAGCTGTGGCGAGCTCAGTATTCTTCTCTGAGGTGTTTGGGGATTTCCTTGAGTGCAAGTCCTCTGGGCTGGAGTTGCTGCTGCAGTTGGAAATTCCTTTTTTCTGAAAAAGATAAAAACGAAATTAATTTGTCCGCCGGCAGCAGCGCCAAGTCCAGGTGTCTGTACACCTCGTACCGCTCCGGGTAAAAGTGGTACAGCACAGGCTCCTGCAGCCGCGCCTGGTGGACTATTTCTCCTATACGAAGGCCCTGTACATAAATAAATAAATAACTAAATAATTAAATATTAATTATTTAATTAATTAATTAGTTAGTTAATTAATTGGCTAATTAACTAGTTAAAGTGGTTGCTTAAACAGCTTTTAAATTGGCTAATTAGTTAAGAAGATATTTAGTTATAGGTGGACTATTTCTCCTATACGAAGGCCCTGTACATAAATAAATAAATAACTAAATAATTAAATATTAATTATTTAATTAATTAATTAGTTAGTTAATTAATTGGCTAATTAACT